AATATTAATATTAATATTAATATTAATATTAATATTAATATTAATATTTATATTTATATTTATATTTATATTTATATTTAATATTTCTTATATTCCAATTATATTATCATATTATATATATATAATATGTATATTATATATTGCATTTGTGCTGATAAATAAATAAAGGGAGACTAGTATAGATCTATTTCAAGCTATTTAGCTCTCATCAGCTAGCCATACCCTTACTGGGATTCGAACCTGGGCTGTATTACACACACACACACACACACACACACACGCACGCACACATACATACATACATACATATATCTGCAGCAAGGAAGGTTGTAAAATGGGACAATACTCACTGTCCTGCTTAGTAACAGAAATTTTGGGCTCAATTTTGGTGAAAAATTATGGATTACCCATAGTTAGCAAGATCAGGAGTGACAGCGGTATGGTGGCCTAGTGGGTAAGATACTTGCCTCCTGGGCTGTTTTTACATATTAGGCAGTTATATTAACGTCTAAGCCATAAGCTCTCCTCCCTTATCAGCTGAGCCAAGGGTGGAGCTGAAAGGCAAAAGGGAAGCAGTATGTTCCCTTCCATATTTGGGCATGCCAGGTACTTTGACATAACACACACACACACACACACACACATATCTGCTGTGAACTCCATGTAGGCATCAGGAAGGGCATCTAGCCAATAAATGCTCAGCTCCACCCTACCCCAAATTAAGGGATTATGGGATCATAAAAATGGGGAGCAAGATCAGGAGTGAAAAGAAGAGTCTCAGACATTTCTTCTTTCTTTGCAGATCCTTTTTGTGATGACATGTGCAAAATGGTGATTGCGGGTGGAGTCCTGCTCTCCTTCATTATCTCAGTTGTCCTTTCTTCCTACTTCATTCATCGGTACCACAAGAATGCGCCAAAAACACCCATCGCCTCGGCAGAGATGACCTTCCGGCGGCCGGCTCAGGCCTATCCCATCAACTACTCATCCAATAATGTCCGTCGACCATCAATGGACTCCGAGAACCAAATGTCAGTAGATGCATTTAAAATACCTGTAAGTTCTTCTCATTTTCAGCTGCTTAATGAGGAAGATATCTTGCCCAGGTTTTATCTGATGCTTTGCTTCATTGTGAGACAAGCATGTCCCTCAGGGACTAGAAGGTGGAGGGGAAAAGGAATGTAAAGAAAAAAAACCCAATATGTCTGTGGGTCTGTGTATCTGTCTGTCTGTCTGTCTAGCCAGCCAGCCAGCCACAATATCTACCTATCTACAGTATCTACCTACCTACCTACCTACCTATCCATCCACCCACCCACCCACCCACCCACTATATCTATCTACCTATCTAGAGTACCTATCTATCATCTTTCTGTGTCTGCTTGCCTCAATCATTATAAAAAACTATTTGTGAAAAAGAAAAGGTAAAGCTAGCAAAAACTATCTTGGACTCTCTGAGAGCTAATCAGGCTGGATAGTCAGCTTGATTCAAAAAAGACCTTTTCACCTGAAAAGGTTTTTTCCAACAATGCATCCATCTACCTGCATCTTAGTTGTACTTTTAATTTTCCCCAAGCAATCTAGTGAGCTTTAATCAAACAACTACTTCAACTTTATTTGCCATTGTGTTCCATGCCAACATTTTATACAATAAAGCATTTGCTTGAGGGAGGTGTATGGTCTCCTGCTTGAGTGGGGGTGGGGGGCGGGCGTGTGTGTGTGTGTTGGACTAGATGACCTATAAGGTCCCTTCCAACAATGTTAATCTTAAAATATAGGCACATGCAGAGGGGGTGGGTGGGGAAAACATAATTTCTGACTGCATTCACATTTTTTAAATAAAACAAGCATAAAAGGTGTTTGTGTTTCTAAAAGATGCATATATCAGGGTATTTCCATTCTTTTTTTAAAAAACTGTATCTTAAAGAAAGCTGCATATAAAAATTCAATATGTTTGGTGCTCTGAGCCTTGCGTTTTCTTGAAGACGTTTCATTACCAAACTAGGTAACAGCATCAGTGTAAACCTCAGATACAAATAATCTCTTCTGTTGGTTTAAAATTCAATATATAATGGAGGTGTGCATGTAATAGCTGACAGGTTTTATTTATCTCCCCCCTATTTCTGATTGGTAAATAGAATTATTTTCCTTGTGGGTGGCTTAAAAACAAACATTAGAAAAATGTGGAATGGATTAAGAAGTCAGGAACTTTAAAAGTAACATTGCCTAGAGTTAATGCATTGATATACTAGCTGATTAAACAGGATATATATAGATTGCAATTAGATGTAAGGCGGGAGACCGAAATACTCTAGAAAGTAAAGTTGGGTGTTATTATTTAACACCCAACTTTAGCAGCGGGTGGAAACTAATCAAGGAAAGAAGCAACCTAAAATAAGGAGAAATTTCCTGAGAGTGAGAACAATTAATCAGTGGAACAACTTGCCTCCAGAAGTTGTGAATGCTCCAACACTGCAAGTTTATAAGAAAATGTTGGATAACCATTTGTCTGAAGTGGTGAGGGGTTTCCTGCCTAGGCAGGGGGTTGGACTAGAAGACCTCTAAGGTCGCTTTCAATTCTGTTAGTTTATTCTATTTGCAAATCACGGGTTTCCATGTGCATTTTGCAATCTGACCATATGAAGCCTGTATGAGCAGCAAACATTCCACATGTTTCTATTCCTTACAATAGTTTATTTGTTAGTTATGTGCTTTTTGATAGAGAGCACAACACATGATTGCTTGTTCTACAGGAAGGAGCAATTGGATTACAGTTAACTAGTTTTTTTTCTTGAAGCCTGCAATCAATTATTTTAATGTTTCCTAGCAACCTCAGCCAGCAATTTCCCCTTGCAGCTGCTAACAACTGTGCCAGTGCAATATATCAAATTTAGTTCTTCGCCCGAGAAGAAATGTCATTGTTTAAATGAAAGCAAGATTTGATTTGTTTTTTAAGAAGCAAATTGAGATCCGGTTGTCATAGTCACCCATCGGTGTCTTGAATGACACAAAGAGAAAGAGAGAAAGCACACGCACACACACACACAAATTTGCTTTACAATACTTAGTTCTTTAAATAGCCCCCAAACGGTGAAGGCACAAGGACTTGGCTCCAACTTCATTTCCAGACTGTATTAGGTGTTAAGTTTGCACACTAGTTACTTGTTCATCTTCTCCATCTTCCTTGATTTTCCAAGAGGTCGGTGGTACAACTGCATGATCGACAACGGAGCATATTTGGAGTTGACACAAGGGGTCCTCTCTGAATTTGCTTGTTTTCTTGCAGACGTTTTATTACCAAACTAGGTAACATCATCAGTTTCGGCGTAGTCATTGAAAAAGTGATTTATAATCGTTTTTCACACTTACAACCGTGGCAGTATCCCCATGTTTACGTGATCAAAATTCAGACACTTGGTGTTCTCACCCACCAGCGGAACTGGCAGCAGATTCGGACAGTGAGGAGGTTGGGGAGGAACCTGGACCAGTCCTGGAGTCTGGGGAAAGCTCTGATGAGGGCTCTGCATCAGAGACAGAGAGGGGGCCAGGGCCGTCCGACAGTTATCAGCTGCCTTTGGAGTCGGATATCAGTGGGGCAGAAGAACTGTTGGAGCCTGTTCCCGATGTGTGTATGTGCAGAGCTGCTAGGAGAAGGGAACAGTTAAGGAACAAGGGTTCACTTGGGAGTAAAGGCACAGGTGGATGGTGAATGGCCCCTCCCCTAGGGAATAAGGAGGAGTGAAAGGGGAGTGGAGTTTGCAGGAGACAATTAGTTCAATTCATTAGGGTAAACATCTGTTCCTGACTTCTTGCCAAGTAATTGCTGCTACAGAGTGGCATTTGGAAGATATCGGCCTGGCAGCTCTCCAAGCTTGATAAAGGTCCGCAGTTGTAAAACCTCTTGAGCCGAGGTGGCACAGTGGTTAAATGCAGCACTGCAGGCTACTTCAGCTGACTGCTAGTTCTGCAGTTCGGCTGTTCAAATCTCACCGGCTCAGGGTTGACTCAGCCTTCCATCCTTCCGAGGTGGGTAAAATGAGGACCCGGATTGTTGTTGGGGGCAATATGCTGACTCTGTAAACCGCTTAGAGAGGGCTGAAAGCCCCATGAAGCGGTATATAAGTCTAACTGCTATTGCTATTGCTATTGAAAGACTGTTGGCTGGGACTTTGCTGGAGAGGAATTCACTTTAAATAAAAGGGGTTTTATCAGGACAAGGAGTCGGCTTTGTGTTTTTGGGAAGCCTAGGTCAGAACACTTGGCAACTGACTCGTATTTATGACAGTTGCAGTGTCCCCCGGGGTCATGTGATCTCCTTTTATGATTTTCTGACATGCAAAATCCACGGGGAGACCCAGATTCGTTTAACAACCACGCGTGACTACCTTAACAACTGCAGTCAGCCACTGAACAATGTCAAGAAAGATTGTAAAACAGGGCAAAACTCCCTTAGAGCCACTGTCTTGCTTGGCAACACAAATGTTATGCCCAATCGTGGTCGTTAGTCCAGGACTTATTCAAGGTTTTAGGAGCAATAAGAACTGTACCCAACTCAGTTAAGAACTGAAAAAAAGTGAAAAAGAAAACATAAGCAGCCCCAAAAGTGCAAACCAGGAGTATTTAGGTATTAAGAGCAGATGTTTTCCATGGAAGACTTATGTTATTTGTTTGTTTTCATCAGCAGCTTCCCAGAACAGAAAACCAATTGTCTGGGATGAATAAGGTGGCTTCTCAAAAATAAAAACCCCGCTGTTCCCCTTCGAGTTCCATAAATCAGCACAAACTATCTTTACAAACACTCTGTAACTCCCTTCTTCCTGGCACCAAGAATACTGAGAGGATTTAGGCAGATTCCAGCGTAATTGTCACCTACTATTTATAAATGTTAAGTTCTCCCGGTTGTATGGGGTAACTGTCAAGCTGCCTGCAGTTGCAAAATGTAGACATGGGAACTCTTCTAATCAGCCACCGTGGACGGTGTGTTTTAAGGTCTCAGCACACACTGCTGAGTGAGCTCCCGCTATTTGTCCCAGCGTCTGTCAACCTAGCTGTTCGAAAGCAATGTAAAAAATGCAAGTAGAAAAATAGGAACCACCTTAGGTGGGAAGGTAACAGCCTTCCATGCGCTTTCGGTGTGTAGTCATGCCAATCACATGACCAGGGAGACGTCTTTGGACAGTGCTGGTTCTTCAGCTTTGAAACGGGGATGAGCACCGCCCCCTAGAGTCGGGAACAACCAGCACGTATCCTAACCTTTACCTTTTAGTTTGCAGGAGGCCATCACAGTTGAAAATGGAGCCTTGACGAGTAATGTCGAGTTGACCATGCCCACCGTGGCCATGCCCCCGACCAACCCCCCCCCCCGCCCCTGAGATCAAACACAACCCTGATACAGCCCTCAATGAAATTGAGCTTGACACCCCTGGTATATATAGACTCTCCTGCTTGAGCAGGGGGTTGGACTAGAAGATCTCCAAGGTCCCTTCCAACTCTGTTCTTCTATATTCTATTTTTCTTCTTCTCTCTTCTACCTTCTCTAGGCAAACTAAACTGTCCAGTCTAGACAGGGGAAAGCTCTTTCCTGGTTTAAAAACTGCAATGTTCTTTTGCAGCTTTTAAACATCTGCATTTAAAAGATCCTTTGATACGTGCGGTTGACTGGTTTATATTTAATGTCAGTGCGATAGTGGGGATGTGTGTATCAGACCCTCACTCACTTACATTTGGCCTGTATAAAACAGCCCCGGTTCTCATTTTCTTTTCAATCACTAACCCTGAGCATTATTCTGGTGTTTTACTGCTATCTTCTGCCTACATTCAGAAAAAAAATCAGTAATTATAGTAGCAGAAGTAACCTGGAATTAAGGAGAAACTTCCTAACAGGACAATAAACCAGTGGAACTGCTTGCCACCAGAAGTTGTGGGTGTTCCATCACTGGAGGTTTTTAAGAAGAGATTGGACAGCTACTGTCTCAAATGGTATAGGGCCATGATGGCGAACCAGCACAAAAGCCATCTCCCAGCTCAGCTCCACTGTGCCAGTTGATTTTTGGGTCTCTGCCGCACATGTGGGAGAAGCTCGCATATGCGTGGGGAGGAAGGGGGCACATGCGCAGGAGGTGGGAAGAGCACGGGGTGTTTTTGGTCCCAGGAGGCTTGAGGGAGGCTGGCTAGGCCCGAAATGGGGCACGGAGGAGGGTATGGCGCCCCTTCACAGCCCATTTTTGGTCGAAGGAGGGTTCGGGGGGTGGGTCGTACTTATGCATGGGGCTGGGGGAATGCAGGGGGTTGTGTGTGCATGTGCAGGAAGGGTGGGGCGCATTGCATTATGGGTGTGGGCATATGCAATTTCAGCACACAATGACCCTACACCAGTTAGCCACCACTGGTGTAGAGCCTCCTGCTTTAGCAAGGGGTTGGACTAGAAGACCTCCAAGGTCCCTTCCAGCTCTATTCTGATTGAGGTTTCATCATCCAACTAGGAAATACCATCAGTGCAATAAGGACCCTTCAACAGTACTAATCTTGTGGTCTGAAAGAGTGAAAGATACACCTAACAGATGCACCTACAAGATGTGGCTCGGTTTTGGTTCTGTTAATCTTTCTCCTCTTCCTTTCCTTTATAGGAAGATCCCAAGTGGGAATTTCCTCGGAAGAACCTGGTGCTCGGCAAGACTCTCGGCGAGGGAGAGTTTGGAAAAGTTGTCAAAGCGACAGCCTTCCGACTCAAGGGCAAAGCTGGCTATACCACGGTGGCAGTGAAAATGTTAAAAGGTAGGTTCCTCTCTCTGGGAAATTCTGAGAATAGCAATAGCCGTTAGACTTATATACCGCTTCACAGTGCTTTCACAGCCCTCTCTAAGCAGTTTACAGAGTCAGCCTATTGCCCCCCAACAATCTGGGTTCTCGTTTTACCCACCTCGGAAGGATGGAAGGCTGAGTCAACATTGAGCCTGGTGACTTTCAAACTGCCAAATTGCAGGCAGCCGGCAGTCAGCAGAAGTAGCCTGCAGTACTACACTCTAACCACTGCGCTACCACGGCTCTTATACAATAGTTTGGTAATGAAAACAGCCGTCTATTTCTGTTCCATACTATCTACTTATTAGAGGAGACATATATCTCACCTTTAATGTGGGAACTGAATGTGGCATGTTTGTGATTCCTCCCTAATTTTATTCAAAAAACAAACAAACTATGTGCAATCGCTGTTGGCTGCTTTTGTGTCAGAAGCACTGAGGTTGAAAGGATTAGCCGCTCACACCAGCGTTGTCCAGGGGATGCATGGTTGGGGGCATCTTTTACGTCACCATTAATGTTCTCACCAAAATGGTACCTATCTATCTACTTGCAATTACTCACTTTCGAAGAGAGACAGAGACACATGTGGCTGCGAGGAGTCCAGCAAAATCGACTTCAAAGCGAGAAGTCCAGGAAGGCAAAGGAACAAGTCAATAAATCCACAGAGCAAGGAAGAAAGCAATGAGTCCATTAAGCAAGGAACAAGGCAAAGTCCATCAAACAAGGAATATGTTCCTGCCTCCTCTCCACTCTCCATGCTCAGCGATCAGGAGGAGGTGGACCTTGCTCATCGCCTGAACTCCATCGCTCTTCATCTCCACTGCCCGCACTCTCTGGTTCATCCTGTCCCCATTCTTCCCTGAGGACAAGCCATCCCAAGCCTGAGGGGTCCAGGGCTGCCTGGTCCTGCTCTTCCCTGTGTTCCTTTGAAGCCAACGAGGCTGCCCCAATCAACCTCCATCAGCCACAGCTTCGGCCCATCCTCCTCCACGGAGTCAGTCTCCGACAGGAGCATGACAGCTAGATTGGCAGGAGCTAGAGCCAATGACAGAAGCTCATCCTGCCCCACAGCAGCCCTCGGATCTCGAACATGGGCTTGCTGATTGTAAAGCCAGCGTTCTGACAACATGAGCCACCATGTTCCCTAACCATGTGAGGCTGAGAGATAGCATCATCGTCATTAGTCCCTTTCTCACAAAGTGCATAGGGCATCTAGCTTCTTCCAATGAATCCTATCCCTGGTGGCATCTTCCCATTTGATGTCCTCTGTCCCTGTCATCTATGAACATCTGACACCAAGTTTTGGATACTCTACCCTGACTCGTGTTTCCCTTTGGCAGGTCCCATCTTAAGGTGTACATTGCTGTGCTTTCCTTTACACTGTTCTGTGTGCCCTGAAAACATTAGATATTGTATGAACCCACAACCCAGTGTGACTGAAGTAGCTGTTGTGGCCTGCCAGTGGCCAGCGGAGCTGGCAGCAGACTCAGACAGTGAGGAGGTGGGGGAGGAACATGGGCCAGTCCTGGAGTCTGGAGAAGGCTGTGATGAGGGCTCTGTGTCAGAGGCAGAGGGGGCCAGAACCATATGCCAATTATTTTCAGAGTCAGACATCAGTGAGGCAGACGAACAGCTGGAGCCTGTTCCCAGTGTGCGCATGCGCAGAGTTGCAAGACAAAGGGAACAGCTAAAGAACAGGGGTTGACTTGGGAGTAAATCCACAGGTGGATGGTAAATAGCCCCTTCCCATAGGGAATAAAAGAGGAGCGAGAGGGGAGGGGAGTTTGCAGGAGACAATTAGTTCGCTTAATAGGTTCGTGACTCTCCGAGATTCATTCCCAATTTTTACAGATATCGGCATATCAGCTCTCCAAGCCAGATAAGGTCTGTGATTGTAAATTCACCCTTGAAAGACTTGGCTGGATGTGAATGAGAGGAATTCACAGTAACTTAATAAAAAGGGCTTTTTTTCGGGACAAGGAATTTGCTTGGTGGTTTGGGGGCAGCTAGGTCAGAACAGTACTGTGTCATTTGAGGAATCTTATGGGCTTCACCCAACCTCATAATAAGATTTGATTTCCCTGGTTTACTGTCAATGGTTTTTTTTTTACATTGTTCCTTTTCATACTTTAATGGAATAAAATATGTATCTTTTACTATGAATCCCAGCTAATTAATAGGAGTGTAAAATCTAAGCAAATATGTCTGTTGATCCCAATCCTTGGGCTTAAACAAGTTTGATTTCTATCCAAGTCAAAATTGTGCTTTCCAATTCTTCCCAGTTGTCCTTTCTGAACTCCCCCGTATAACTTCCCCATGTGTCTTCTTTCTTTAATCTCTAATAAATATAATCACCAATGCAGCTTCCCTGGAAAAAAGTTTAAATAGCTGTGTCACTTTTCACCCAAATGTGTCGGTATTCTTCCCCCTTGTAATTACGGTGAGTTAGTCATCCTTCACTGGCGTTATGAAAACAGTTAAAGATTGTGTAATGCTCAGGAATTGTTCACTTCTACATCTGCCAGGGATGGATGGCCTCATTGTCTGAATTATCTGTCAGGCTGACATGGCTCAAAGTGGGGGGGGGGGGCACACAAAACTATAATAAAAACGATTAGACACCATGCGGAGCTCTTGTCCCTTGAAGATTGTTGTAGTGGTTAGAATGCAGTTTTGCAGGCTAATTCTGCCGACTGCCAGCAATTCAGCAATTCAATTCTCAAGGTTGACTCGGCCTTCTATCCTTCTGAGGTCAGTAAAACAAGGATCCAGATGGTTGGGGGCAATAGGCTGACTATAGTCTAGTGGCTAGGGGATGTGGTGGCTCAGTGGCTAAGATGCTCCACTATTTACATAAGACTCTAATGTATCATTGGTAAATCCTGCCTCAAGTCATAGTCGGGGTGGCTTAATAAGAGGTCTCTTCCTGCTCTGTTCCACAGAAAATGCTTCATCAAGCGAGCTTCGAGATTTACATTCTGAGTTCAACCTTTTAAAACAGGTGAACCACCCTCATGTCATCAGGCTGTATGGTGCTTGTAGCCAGGACGGTAGGTATTTAATTTTGACTTCTATTGAATTTTGATTCCCGGAGCAAACGGATGAGCAAGAGAGAACGAGTACTGTATTTTTCAGAGTATAAGACGCACCCTTTTCCCTCAAAAAAGAGGGTGAAAAACTGGGTGCATCTTATATACTGAATACAACATTTTTGGCCTCCCCAAACCCCACCCCTTCACCAAAATGGCCTTGCATAGCCTTTAGGAGGCCTATAGAGTGCTCCTGGGGGCTGGGGAGGGCAGAATTGAGCATAAAATGGGCTGTTTTTTGCTCAATTTTCCCCCTCAGCCCCCAGGAGCACTTTGCAAGGCTCCTAAAGGCTATACATGCCCTTTTTGCTTGTTTTTGCCCCCACCCCACCCCCCAGGAGCAGTCTACAAGCCTCCTAAAGGCTATTCATGCCCTTTTATGGGCAAAAAACGGGTCCATTTTTGCAAAAAATGGGCCATTTTTGGGAGGTCTGCAGAGTGCAAAAACTTTTTTTTTTAAATTGCCTCTTCAAAACCTTGGTGCGTCTTATACTCCAAAAATATGGTAATCTTAAGTGCAGCAGTGGAGGAAAGAGGGAAGGTCCGCAATAGAACATAGAAAGACAGAGTTTGGAAGGGGTCCTTGGAGGTCTTCTAGTCCAACCTCCTGCTCGAACAGATGATCCTATAGCAATCCAGACAAACGGCTGTCCAGTCTCTTCTTGAAAACCTCCAGTGATGGAGCCACCCACGATTTCTGAAGGCAACTTCTGTTCCACTGGTTGATTGTTCTCCCCAATGGTGGGTATCCATAGGGAAAAAGAAGAAGGAAAAAGTTGGGAGACACGGTCCATTTCTTTTAAAAAGAAATAATCTTTTTAGATTAGAGGAAGAAGGGAGGGAGGAAAGAAGGAATTAATTAATTCTGAATTCCCAAAATCTCATCCTGGAGAGTAATCCCCCAACTGAGATCATAACATTTCTGATGTGTGAAATTGACATGAAATTCACTTGGTGCAATTAAAAAAAATAAAAATAAGGACCTTGCCCATTTTTTTTGAGGGCAAATTGATTGGACATCTGCATTCCCCCCCCCCCCCTTTGTTTGATCTCAGGGCCTTTATACTTAATTGTGGAGTATGCGAAATACGGCTCCTTACGAAGTTTCCTAAGGGAAAGCCGGAAAGTGGGAACCAGCTACATGGGAAGCGATACCAACAGAAATTCCAGCTACTTGGACAATCCAGATGAGCGGGCTCTCACTATGGGCGACCTGATCTCCTTTGCATGGCAGATCTCCCGTGGCATGCAATACCTTGCCGAGATGAAGGTATGGACTTCCCCTTTCCTGCCCAACATATTTCCATGAACTTTTTCTGGGTGGGCGTGGCCAAAGCCTCCCACACCATGGTGTGTGTGTGTGTGGGGGGGACGTTTTCATCTTCCTTAGGCTCTAGAGGCCCTCCGTAAGCCAGAAACGGGTTGGGGACCTCTGGGAGGCCCATTTTTCTCCCTCCCCAAGACTCTGCATGGGCCCTGCATTTATCTTGCATCCAAAATGGGCCACGTGGAGACTCCTGGGAGGGGAGGGGTGGAGCAGGGTGGGAGGGGCCAGCCAGGGGTGGGATTTGGAGGTTCTCGGAACCAGCCATAACGTTAGCTATGAGTTTTCCCAAACCTGGGTGAACCGGTAGCAGCCCACCCCCAGAAGTTTTCCAGGGAGGGGCTCATCTGTTAATTTCTTTTGCATGTGTGTGTGTGTGTGTTTCTCCCAAGCTTGTTCATCGTGATTTAGCAGCCAGGAATGTCTTAGTAGCCGAAGGGCGTAAAATGAAGATTTCTGACTTTGGTTTGTCTCGCGACGTTTATGAAGAAGACTCTTATGTCAAGAGGAGCAAGGTGAGGGAGACAATTATTTATTCGCCACAATGATCTGTTTATTTAAAGGATAATCCGTGAACAGCTGCGAGGGACTTAGAACATTGGAGTTTGAAGGAGCACTGCGTCACTCAAGAGGATTTTGCACATTTGGAAAATCTGAGGGCAAAAAAGGGGCCTAGAACTGTTCTTAGGGGAAACGATAGAAATGATAGCCTGAGAGTTTTGGGTTGGTTTATTTTAACCTAGGCGGTGGGGGGAATAGGAGACATGTAAGGTAATGTAGCATGAGAATTTTTTTTAATGCCACTCGTACAACATTAAGAATTTGAGGTTATCCATCAAAACCTGAATCCTGAAAAATTCGGAGCCAATAAAAGTAAGTACTTTATAGAACGCGTAAGTTAAAATGGGATTTTCTGCCCTCGGAGGCCATTAGGACTAACTATTTGGATAGCTTTTGGAAGAGGATCAGAGTCTTCATACTGTAACTAGTGTCAGTGTGGGAAACACAAGGTGCTTCGAAACGTTGCTCACTTAAGAAAAGTCAATAAGTCCCTCTGCCATGGTTAACAAATGTGATAGATAGATAGATAGATAGATAGATAGATAGATAGATAGATAGATAGATAGATAGATAGATGAGAGA